ATTGCTTGAAAAAATGAAGACTCTTTAGCTAAATAATTTCTCTCCACTAGAAGGGTTGTAATGAGTTTTACTTACATATGCTTATCATTACCACTTAATTTCAGTCTGAGAAATGAAATTTGGAGGAGTGGTTGTTCTTTTGGATTCCACCCGCACCGCCCCACCCCTTCATCCTTTCCAAGCTTTGTCATTAATTTTCTGTCACTAGTTCTATGGAACTAAGTAGACCAAAGTCTTTGTGACTAAAATCCAAACCAGTGTTTCACTCTTAATGTTATACAACTGTATAGCAAGAGTCAGGTGAGCATCTTGATTTCCTGCACCCATATATTCCATTATAACATGCCATGGTACAAGATATACACCAAAGATGTGTACCAAAACTATGATATGATAGACAAAAGACTTAACATTGGTGTGAAATGCATTAACTATTGCAAATAAGGCTGCACAGATCCTCAGTATTTGTGTGGGTCTATGCAAGTTTTCCATATATGCAGATGTATATACCTGTAGACATAGGGAAAGGAAGAGTATCTGTAAAAACAAGGGCTGAAAACTTCAAGTGTTCACAAACCTGTTTAGAAATTATGTGTCTTCATATGCAGGCTAAGCTGCAGAAGTCTCTCATTGCATCATAGAACAGGCACATTATCACTCTCACTGTGAAGTGGATTTTAAAAAGCCATCATTAAACATTGCATATTTTAACTTTAGGCATTACGATCTGAATTTCCTGGGTATAAAGGATTGTTTAGTCCTAGTCTTTTCAGATAAGTAGATGCCATCATAGATCAAATCCATACTTTAGAGGTCTGTTCTGGTTTTAGAAATGAAAAAAATGTAGTTTTACATATTTTAGAACTTCAAAAGTGTAATTAAAAATAAAAGATAACTAGAATTTTTTTGGATAGCAAATATGTTTTATTTATGATTAATATACCATATATTTTAATGCATTTTCATGAAATGTTTTATGAGCCTTGGTTTTTTACAGATACAAAAGATAAGCTCTGCACTTTAAAACCAGCTTGTAAATAACAGTTTGGTTAGGGCCATCCCTCTGTTCCTTGAAATCAAAATATATTCAGCATAATTTGGAACACGATCAAAATATTCTGGTTTTACTCATTTACTCTCCCCTTGGTATTTACAGTGTTATTTAAACCTATATTTCATGTTCTCTAGACTGGTGGCCATGGTTTAATTTGTGAAATGTCAGTAGTGGAACTACGTGAACGCCTTGCTCTGCTCAGAGAAGCACAGAAGGCAGCAGAGGAAGAAAAGAGAGACCAGATAATTCATGAAAAACGAGCTAAGGAACAACTTCTTCTAGACACACTGGACCAGATTTCCCTGTTCAGAGCAGAACTTGGACGAGCAGCTGCTTTAAAGTCAGTATAAAACAGCATGTGACATTTAAGACATTGCAAGTTTGTTAATACTTTGCTAGCCCCTTGAGAAAAACAAGCAGAGAGCAAAATACTGGCCTTTTATAAATCACTATAACTTTTGTCAAGGATTACACTGGGGCCAAGATTTCCTTTCTATTCTTCAAAATATTTTGCATCATATTTAACAAATCTTTTTCATCATGTTGAATTTATGGTTGAAGACACTCTGTAGGCTAGTGTTGACAGTATTGCCCCAGGATTCAGAGCCAGTATTATATATTGAGAAAGAAATTCTGCCTTTCTTCTGTTCTTTTTCAGCTAATCAGAACTAATTTGATGTTATTAGAATAATTCTAGCTTGCTACTGAAAGTGGTTTCTCATTTACATCTAAACCAACACATTAGGGCTACAGTTTTCTTCCTTGAACTTCATTTGTTATGTGAAAAGGCAGGCCTTATTTTAGAAGTTAAAAATATTTTAGGAAGGAGATTCTCTGATAACAATAATAAGCTATAAATTAAATAAATTATAGCAGGAGATCAAAGAGAAAAATCTGCTTACAGGCTCTCTGATCAAATTTTGTATCCATTATTCATATTTATTATTCATTATCATACTTGTTATTCATTGTCATAAGCTATCCATAACCATCGTAGATGCTTCTCAAATGCAGAGGACAGGTCCCTTCCACAAAGAGTTTAAAATCTAAGTTGAAGCTATTTACAAATAAAGCTGAGCAGGAAGGCAGCCTTTGTAAAAGTATAAAATATGGCACACTTCTTGATCTTATGCCATTTTTACTGCATCTTTACTATTTGCCATTGTTTTCTTGCAAGTTGTCTTTCACCTTTTCCCTTTTGTGATTTTGGGAGGTTAGTCCTTGTCTTGCTATATTTATTTTGCAAACAGATGTTCAGGCTGACATTCTGAAGGCATATTCTATCAGGCTAAAAGCACACATCTTTAGACATGTCTTAGATTCCTGTTTACTGCTGAGAAGCCGAAGGTGGCTTCTTAGAGTTCAATTGATGTTATTGATTTAAAGTTCAATTCATGTTATTGATTTATCATCCAATTATGAATCTCAATTACAGAAGGCAGTATTGATGTATTCATTTCACTAGTTTTCACTCGTCCCAGCTCTAATTTGGTTTGCTGATGACAGTTAATCACCAAAGACTGGGCTTTTACTGTTAGTACTTAAGAAGATAGTTTATTGAATTTAATTAATTAATAACTGGACTGACTGCATAGATTAGTGACCATCTCTTCTGTGGCATATATAGAGAAAATACTTTAAGACTAAAGAACCTGAAATGGAGCTGGAAATACACTGTCATTGCTAAACATTCAGTCTTGTGAAAGCCTGGGGGAGCAACTCAAGCCACCGCTTTCCACAAGAGATGCAAACTAGGCATTAAGAATGTGTATACTGCATAAAATCTGTTTCACTAGCAACTACTTAAAGAATTATTTGTTATGCTAGTTGTGCAGTCTGTGATGGGTTTCTTTAAAATAGTCTGTTTGACTTAATTCCAATGTAAAACTGTTCTGATTCTGAAATAAGCTATGCTTGAATGAGAAGCTAACTTTGATTCACTTTTTGTCCTGACATTTGAAATGTTTTTTAGAACAGACCAGCATGCCAAAGATAGTAGAATCCAAATGATATTAAACACTTAATTTGCAAGCTTCTAGTCAGACTCATGATAAGTAATACAGTAATTTTAACAGGGCCCTGTTTGCTCTCCAAACAAAGAAAACATAAAGTTTCATTATAGATGTTATAAGACATTTCCTTTCATGGCTCCCAGGCAATCTATGTACATAACTTGGGAGCATCTGCTATACAGAGGCATTGTCAAAGTATACCAGAAATGTTGTTCTTTGGGAGTGTATTTAATGCATTTTCATCTAGAATGCAAATCTAGGGTGTTATTTCTGTTAATATAGGAGTACGCCGTGCTGGCCTACTTACAAATGCTAGACACTTTGCTGCAGCTTTTATTTTTCTCTAAACAAACTATAGACTTTGTGTGTTAAACCTGATTTAGAGATCCTGAATCCTGAAATATCTGTCCAGTCAGTGTGAGCAATTAATTGCTTGGGTTGCATTATTGATACACTGCACAGGAGATGAGCAACTCAAAGGCAAATTTTTATGTTTACAGAATTAATTCATAATTCTAGAGACAGAATCTTACCAATGGTACTCATAAGATAGCCTTATGCATCAATATAAAACTAGATGTAGTATCTTAAATTGCAGTTATGTTGAAGGCTATTGCTGGTCAGCTGAAGTATGGCAGCTAAGCTTTGCTAAACAAATGTGCTTTAGTTAGTGTCAGCTGGAGTTTAACTGGGTCCCTACCAAGCAGTTTCCTTTGAATATCATTTACAAACAGACATACATCAACACAAAAGAAGCACATTGAGCAAGCATAGAATGAGCTGTATTAAACAAAATAGGAAATGGAACATGAAAAATTACAGAGACATCAGCCTTTAATAGACTGCAAGCCATGACATCCATCACAGCAGTGGCTTTGTGAACGCTTGCAGAACACTTAAGAATCAATTCACTGTATATGCAGGACATCCCCTTAATTGTTAGAATTTCACATAGTTTGAAAATCAGCACTGGCATATGAAGTGGACAGACATTTGAGTTCTCAGCTTCTGAACATGAGCAACAAAAGATCTGTAAGTGTTTGAATACATGCTAATGTACTTCCCCCTCCAAGTCAGGGTAACATCCAGATGAAGGTAGCAGCTGCTGTTCCCAGGGTGACACTGAATTGACACTAATCCTCCTTGTCTTCCTGGTATATAAGGAAGAAGAATCAGAAAATTGTTATGAGGAACAAAATGCACAGACTCATACCACCACAAAGCATTCCTGTCTCTCCCTGCCACTGCCAGTGCTCAAACCCCTCCTTGACAAGGGGCACTGGCCACACACCAGTGTGACACGCCTCTCTTGGCCTGAACTGGGGAGGGGTGGAAATAGTGTGAGGGCAGTCACGGAAGGAAGACAAGGGGCAAGGAGAGGAGAACAAGCAGAAGGAAGGGTTCTGCATGGGTGACTGTGATGGTCGTTTTCAAGTAGAACAAGCTCTCTACAGCAAGTGTTCCCTGGAGTGTCCAGGTGTGACTTACAGAGTCCAGAGCCTTCTGGGTGAGGAGGGGAGAATGAAGCCACATCCTCCAAAGCCTGTAAAGCTCCCTGTCAGGACAATGCTGTGATGCAGCACACAACTGAGGGAAAGGGCAGACAGCACAAAGAGCTGGAAAGCTCTTTCCCGCTGCAAAACAGGGGACCATGTGCTATGCTATCCCTGTGTCTGGCTGTTGCCTCAGATCTCCAAAAACATAGTGTAGAATAATGAAAAAATATGAATTATTAGCAATATAAGGGACTTTGGTTTGGTACTTGATAATATTTGTGATTTCATGAATTTCACAAATTTAATAAATACTTAGGGTTCTGTATGTGTTTGCAACAAGGAAGTAAGATTTAATTTCTCAGTCCCTGCGCTAGTAATAAGTTCTTCACTAGCATTGAACCAGAAGGAGGAAATTTATCAGCAATGGTGCATCAGAAATATGAATATGTGAAGGGAGGCTGTAAAGAAGACACAGCCAGGCTCTTCTCAGTGGTGACCAATGAGAGGACAAGAGGCACAGAAGGAAAGACAGGAGCTTCCCTCTGAACATCAGGAAACACTTTTTTACTGTAAGGGTGACTGAGCACTGGCACAAATTGCCCAGGGAGGTTGTGGAGTCTCCATCCTTGGAGCTATTCCAAAGCCGTCTAGACATGGTTCTGGGCAACTGGCTTTAGGTGGCCCTGCTTGAGCAGGTGGGGTGGGCAAGATGACCTCCAGAGGTCCCTTCCAACCTCAACCATTCTGTGAATGAACTTTGATTATCCAGCATCATAAGCTTTATTTCAAACAAAGAAAATACTGTTATGAATAACAATCACTTCCCCACCTAAAATGAGGTGCTTAATAAGTTAATTGTTTTGGAAGGGAGTCAGATTTTGAGTGCTTAACTCCCTCACATTAGTACAAAATAGTAATCAAACTAATAGTGTAGTGTTCTTAAATGTCAAAATAATGACTCCCTTAGCAGTGAACTGTTAACAGTTAGATATACTAATTTTCCTCACTGCAATAACTAAGAATTATATCATGCAGGACAGAAAAAAAAAGGCAAGGTACTGTGAAGTACAGGCAGTCCTAGTCACTGAGATTGAGAGTATGAGGAAATTAAAAAAAAAAAAAATTGTTTATTGCACTATAAGGCAATCCTACCTCTGCTTTTAGAAATATATTTATGTTTATTGCACAAGACTCCATTTTATAAGGTTAGCTTATAAATACAGTCCTAGCTGCTTAAGTTGGTATTTTGGTGCCTAGAATGGTCAAGGAGACATTTTTACTCTGTCCCCTACAAGTACTGAGTCAGTTAAGAGCTGTCATACATCTGTCTCCTTATACTTCTGATGTACAGCTGGACTTTGAAAATGTAAATGAAAAACAAAATGTAGTTTTCAGGAGAAGTCCTCTGCAAATCTTCAGAATCCCCATTTTTTAAACACAGATGACAAGACCTAATCCACCTGTTTCAAGTGTTTTCATTTCCTACAGGAAAACCATTAACGCTAAATTGCTGCTTCTTCAGTTATAGGCCAGATGACCTACTGGACTTAGAGTCCTTATGGCCAGATGCTAAAATTGCAGGGCAGATAGTTAAATAATTACAAGGGATATGTAAGTAAGACAATGCTGGACTGCCAAACTCCATGACAAGTTTGTAAAATGTGTAGTAAAAAAATACTTATTCATTTTTAAATGTCATTGTATTTACTAAGGAAATCATTGAGACAACAAATACAGGATGTTCACTGCAGTTTACGATGCCTGGAATATTATTTTAAATAGAAAGACACTAACAATTTACCCATCACTGATGGAACTATTCTGTGCTTCATCATAGTGAGCAAAAATCTTTGTGCTGTTGACTGTACACGGAGCTTACATGGAAAGTGGATAGAGAACAAAATCAGTGGTAGAGAGAGAAATTTTCACCGATTTTATATCTATATTCTGTTGAATCTTTAATTAATCCTTCACTTTTCCTCTTCTGAGTAGTTTACACATACACCCTACACTACTACAAACTTCTATAAGCATATTCAAGAATCTCATCTCATTCCTTAAAACTAAAAGGTACTTTCTGACACGGTCACTAGGCAAAAGGTAGAGTTTGCTAAACCATTTCAAATATATACAGACTTCAAAAATATTACAAATTTTTTCAAAGTCTTTGATAGGGAAATATTTTTTAAATTATGGCAGACTCACAAAGGGACAGAAGGCTTTTGTCTGAGACCAAAGGAAAAGAAAATTAACAAATTATCTTTTAGACCAAAGATTTAACATCACATTTTAGGAACTAGTACAATTCTTAAAGATTGGTTTTCATTCAAGGTGCTCATTCAGTACCAGTGGCTGGCAAATAAACTTAAAAGTAAAATTAAAATGGTTTCTGCATATTTTTTTCATAAATTATTACATAATTTTCTGTTGAGTCTGGAGAGAATTCTTTTAACTATGTACTACCCCATTCTGACTGGCCGTTACCTTGCTTCCTTAGGAAATACGTGATATGGGGCGGCAGAGATCATATGAGCTTTTTCTGTCTTGAGTCCTGAAGGCTGTCAACTGAGCATCACAGAAAAAATAAATTTTAAAATTTATTTTTTCATTCCTTCCCCTCTTTGAGTTTCTTTTATGATATGGTGTGGCATCTGAGATTCTATGGGACTGGCAGCTTTTCAGAATAGCTGATGCTTCATGATGTTAAACCTCTTGCTGTATTTCCTGTAATTGTATTTACAAGAATCTGGATTTGCATGTAATGAAGGTTTTGTTGCTTATTCCCACTGACAATATTTAACCATGAAGTGTTTACATAAAACCTTATTGTTATGTTCTCCTATATCCCTTGGAATGCGATGCCTTGTTAAACTGCAAATAGAAATAATCCATGTTCTCAGATTAAATTATAGTACATAATTTTTAGATTTACAGAATAGTGTTAAAAATTGATCTCACTGTAGCAGAGTATATCACAGTATTAAGGAGGATAAGGAAGCGTTATCCCAGCCAGATAGCATGACACAAGCAGCAGAGAGGTTCAGGAAGTGTCTCAGGAAATGAGAAGCCAAGTTAAACTGTACCCCTTATTTAAAGTTCACAGTCACATTTCAAAATGGGGGACGGGTCAAATCTCCCCTACATCCGGTTCCTGAGGGTTTCGGGAAATCTAGCCCAGAATGGCTGCTCTGAAGAATACCTGCTGTTACACAGAGTTTCCTGTTTTAAGGCAAATTGGTGGATTTAGCATCAGAAGGAACTTCTTACTTGTTCCCCTTCCTCCAGCTCCTTGAGAAAAGTTTGCCTTATACTGGAAACACTGTGGTATAAGACCCAAGAGATATGGGAAGAGTTCTGTTGTAAAATGTTTCCAAGGAGAAACCTGCATGTGAAATTAGTGCTACCACTGTCAGAATAACAGTTACAGTATCGGCTGAACCATGCCCCAGTGCACTCTGCCCTTGGTCATTTGGATTCTTAGTCTGGTTTCCAATAACAGCAACTGTAATGTTCTGATTCTGTGATATAAAAGGACCTCTAGAAGGTTGTCTTGCCAGCTGAGAGAAGGCGTTAGATCTAACCTGGTGATATATAATAATGTATAATCTTTGGTAGATCTGACACTTACTTTAGATCTGAATTTGGCCAGAGAATCACAGCTGCTCATGACGTAATATTACATATTACATAATACTACAGCTTGATCATACTGAGCCAAATTCAAGGGCAATACTGAATAAAAGAGCAAGTTGGATGTTAAGTGAATCACTGTGCAAGGTGGTGTAACCTAGATGAAGAAGTTGTGAGTAAATTGTGCCAGTGGGGTGAAAGTAAACAAATAGCAGAGAAGATGTAAACTCCAGAGAAGCAGCTACAATAGAAGGGGGAAAAAAAAAAAGGAAGACTATCTGATAACCTCTCTCTTATGCTTTACTTTTATGCTGCACATGGTGCTATCAATTTATGTTCACCTAGACCCACTAACCTTAATTAATACATCACCATCTCATAGGTTCTGAATCTGGGCATTGAGATTACACAGAAAATAATCTCTTTCATTTGCTGAGGAATACAGCAATTGAGATGAATACTAATGATCATATAAGGAAAACTCCAGAGTTCTCGCAAGTAAAAAGCTGCAGTATTATCAGAGGGTTTGCATGTGCTTTTTCTAAAGAATGTAATGTCAGACTTGAAATATCTTAACTTCACATATTGTCATCATGGCATCCTGTGGGAAGAAATTATTCTATACTGTTTAGTGATGCTGTTCTGTAAACAAGAAGCAAGTTGTGAGTACCACATTCATTGAGAGCTATATGATTTGAACCTGTTTTGAGTCTAGCTGGCTCCCAGAAGCAAGAGAAAATTCATTATTATCAAGGTAATACGTGCTCAGATGGATTCATTCTGTGGGCTGACATTATTTTACCTTCTCATTGCTTCTTTTTGATTTTGCAGGCAAGAAGAAAAGAAAAGAAAGTCCCAGTCTGGTGAAAGGCCTGTGAAAGATGAACGCATTTTAAACCTGCAGAAAAAGATTGTAGAAAAAACAATGGAGCGTAAAAAGCAAGCAGAACTCTTAAAGATTACCCCCCAGAAAACCAGCATTGCATCAAAGAAGGTTTGGGAATTAAATAAGGTGAAAAACTCTGCCATAGACTTGCTGTTCAGAGGCTTTTGCTCAACTGCCAGCACTAGCAGGGGAGGCAGAGGCAGATGGTGCCATACAGGACTGGCAATAGCAACTCCTGGTTCCTGCGTAGGAATGATTTTCCCAAACCATGGCCTTGACCTCACCTTCTTGTCACACATTCTGCTAGCACAAAGCAGGGCTCATCCGTATGACACCCAGCTTCCCACTCCTATTACCACACACTCTTATCCCATCAAACAGCATCTTACCCCGTCTCTAACACTTGTCTTTCTCAGCCTCCTATTACACACCAAACTGGGATGCTCACCCCGTCTCTCACCAAAGGTGTGTTCCAGTTTATCATTCCCTTGGTTTTTACCTCTCCTTTCCTCAGCCCGGACCCACAACATCAGATGGAAGCACCAATAGCCCTGTAGGCTTTATGCTGGTTCACACTGGTTGTGTTTCCTTGGCAAGTGCCTAAAGAGAAGCAGTGAGGAACTGCTGCTCCTGCTGCTGCTGCCGCCTGTGCCATTGCCTCATGCATGCCTAACATTTAGAAGTGGTTCATATACCAGTAATAGTACATGTACCACGACATATGGAACACTCCAGTGAACAGTCATGATGGGATCACTTTTTAGAAGCTGTACTACTAGTAACATTAGAACTAAATCTCCCAATCCGTTAAAGTAATAACTCCTTACCTATTTTGTAAGTTAGGTGAAGCTGAATTCAAAGAAGACGAAAACTGTATTTTTCAAGTGTGTATGGTTTAAAAACCAAAACAGTGCAGTCCTTCAGAATATCATGTTTGCTGCCTTCAGAATCCCCATTTCAGGCAAGCAAAACATGTAGGTGCTTATGCAGACAAGTAGGTCTATACCTTTTAGCAAAGAAAACAATGAAGACCGATTTGAAGAAATCATTTCCTGAATTGTGGTGGCTTTCTGAACTGAGCTTTTGAATACATGCTGAAACACTTTGCTTAATGGGGTCCAAAGTAAAATAGAAGAAATAAATGCAGATTTCAAAGGAAAGCAGCCACATAATTACAAATGTGAGACATTTTAAAAATAAACAAAGAAAAATTATAAATTCACAGCTAGAACTTTTGACTACCTGATGTGAGTTTGTATGAGTGCTCTGGTGTCATATGAATGAGCAGATAAGCCAGGGTTTGAAAGTTGTTTTGATGTTAGATTTTGTCTTTTTCTTGAGTTTAGCTTTACACAGTAACTCTCTTAAGATGTCGCAGCGCTTTTGTTTATGTTCTGCTCAAATGTTAAGACCTGTAAAAAAGAAAAGAAAAAAAAAAAAACAAATGGAAATAATTCAGGGTTACTATGAATTACTTAGCTGTTTTGGCCTATCTTCCATCAGTGCTATTCAGCTCTGCATGACCCTATCCAAATGTTGCTACCGGGAAGTGGCTCAATTCTGGTCAGATATGTTCAGGAGCATCTTTGTTCTTGTTGAACTGCGTATTGCTGAAAATGGTGTTAATGTGACTATAGGAAAAAATTCCTCCCCTTAGCTATAATGCAATAGGTATCTGGCGTTCAGTTTGTACTCCTACCTTTTAGGTTCCTCAAGAAGTAGAAAAACTAGTGACACTGACCTCTAGTATTAAAGTTAGAAGTCCAGATTGTGGCTTCACTATCATTTGTGATGGCCCTTTAGGCCCACTGGGTTTGTGCTCATATAAGTCAGGGTAACATTTGTTTATAAATGACTATTACATTCTTAATAAAACTATTTATATTGCAATTTGGAAAACTAACCATACGAAAAACTACCATTAATGAAATAAAATTTATTTTTCTACCATTTAAAGCAAAGAATCAGATTAAAAAGTAGCAGTTTTCTGTTTGTTCTGAGCTTTTTGGGGAATGCTCCCTTGTGAACCCAGCTTTTGAATCACCAAACCAGTAGAGCCTGATAGGATTTGTACAACTGCTCATTCAGGGCTTCAAGAATAAACTGTTGGCAAAGAAAGAACATAAAGTAGCAGCATTGTAGAAAACCATCCACTTGTAGTTTTATCTTGATTTAACATTTTGTGGAGTGTTGCACCTGTATCTAATTCATCTCAAACTGGGCAACCCACTCACATTATCTTTCTGTTCATCATGCTGAGTTTGATGTTGACAAGTTTCCCAGTCATGTTAGCAAATAGGATGTTGCCAGCCTGCCAGATTATCAAAGAGAAGTTCAGTGTATCCCTTAAAGAGAACCACTATCATCTCTGCAGTCTGATCACCTCTGTGTCTTTTCTGCAGGATTCATTGCAATGGAACCGTTGGAAAGAACTGGAAGAGAGTCGGGAACGACTCGTGGCCAGACAAACAGCTCAGCAAATGGCTGCCTATGAGGCAGCAAGAAGTGGAGCCACAGTCTGTACATTGCGTTCTAAAGTAAAATAAATATATTTGGAACAAATTCAGGGGTGCTAGAAATCTCCCAGTGTGCCTATTTACTCCAAGGCAGAATTTTAATCTTTGTTTCACCTTTACAGTGTGATTAGAAAAATTTGGGTCATACAGGCACAATAGAATAAAAATGTGGGGTTTTTTGTAATAGAATTTTATTTTTGAGCCATAATGATACTTTTTTTCTGTTAGAATTGAAAGCTTTAAGAAAATTAAACCTTATCATCAAAGCTCCTACAGCAGAATGGCAAATATCTGGGTAAGAATGTTGAGATCTGCATTTGTTATCCTTGTATACTATGCTCTGGTTTGCTCTGCTCATCTTCCAAAAGAATAAAAATGAGGGCATAAAGCAAGCAACATTTGTTTACGTATGCATTTTTTCTGAAGGCATGGTGAGGCCAAGTTTCTAATACATCTTCTTGCATGACAGTAACTGTGTGTAAGAGTATCACCAAAAACACTGGTTTTAGAGGACTGTTTAGAAGATTTAGATAATGTGATAGCCTCCAGGAGACAGAGACTAGATTCAGTGACCCAGACAGACCATCCCTCTGTTCGCAGATGTGAATCTCTTCAGTCTTTAAATAGTGGAAGGAGAACATAATGTTGTTTGATCTCCTTAGGGAGCTGCATCCAGAAGTAAAAATTCTGTTATTCACCTATAAGATAGTTTGCCCTCTATGACAATTTCTATGCTGCATGAAACAGCCTTTAAATCACAAGACTTATTCTAGGCACAAAGCCAACGAGGATATAAATCTGAATTAAAATCTGCACAGCAGTAAGACTTTGTAATGTATTTCTATTTTAACTCCATGCCAGTTACTAAGTGTTTAATTGTGGCTATTGCAAATATTTAAATTGAAGGAGACTGTCGCTGACACTAGAGTCAGGCAGATGCTTTTAATGTTCTCACAACATTACATTTCTCACCTTTTACTGAAGGAAGCCTAATGGAATTCCTTTGTTGCCACCTAGCTGTGAAGATCACTTCCACAAGCTGATAAAATGTGCTTTATTTTTCATTCAAACTAAATGTTACGGTAGTCCATGAAAGTAATGTAGGACTCATTCTCAGTAAGAGCTAAGGAACATAGGAGAGTGACGAGAAGGAACGACAGCAGAACTAGAGAGAAGAGGAAACTATAACACTATGTCTAGTCAGAGATTGTAATAACTTAAAATGACAAACCCTTCGTGGCAGGGAGTTTATCTTCCTTTGTGGTTGTTCAGCATTCTGTTGTACTGCAGAACAACAAAGCCAAGTGGTGTCTGTAACACTTGGAGTTTCCAGAAGCTGGCAATTAACAGGGCTGACAGTCATGATCTGGGATGTTTCATAGCTGAATAGTACTTCTTAAACTTTTTGATGTGTCTTGCATTTTGAGAATTAAAAAAAAATAAAAATCATCATTAAACAAATAGCTAGACAGGAGTATTTAGGTAAAATGGAAATTTCAAAAACTTTTCATACTGCATATTTCTCCCCCTGCGATGCTGGACCCAGTTTTCAGAATTCTTACTGGATTGCAGTCAGGGTGATTCATAGCTATTTCATTCTTCATATTTTCCCTGCTCTCAAATGAAGGGAATGAGGAATAGAGCAATCTCAATAATCCAGCTGTGAAAATTTTACCTTCAGAAGTCACAAACAGCCCTATTACTACTTTAGGATCTGATTCATAAAGTCATCTTCAGAATCAATGTTTTGAGGAACATAAAAGAATGTGAGTCTTTCAGGAAAAATACCAATATATTCCTATATTTTTTTATCAATATAGCCTATTGATTTTACAGTGATGGCAGGTCTTACAACAGAACACACAGAATAACATTAAAAACACCACATTCCTCCTGACAAGTGTCAATAACTTGGTGTTGGAGGCAGCAGACCCTATCCAGAACCACTCTGCCCCAGTCGCTAGAGCAGCTTCTGTAGTATTCCTGCTCCAGCAATGTGGTACACAGGAACCTGAGGTGATCCAACACAGAGGCTGCAAAGGTCTGGTGGGACTTGTTAGCGTTATATGACAAGAGCAGCTGTAATGCTGTTGGAGCCAGGTGAGCTTTGAAGCACTCCAGCTGCATTCAGGCTGCTGCCTCGGCTAGTGTCTGTGGCACGGACCATCCACAACCCGGCTAATCTGCACAAGTCAGCAATGCCTCTGTGCTCCTTGTGCTACACGGAAACACAGGTGCATGAATAATTCATGATTCATTCATTTACATGTTTGTAATACTATTTGCAGCCAAGAAGAGGAGGGTTAGTGAGCAAGGCTGACTCTTAAATCACCTAACAAAAGAGACTGACACAATCAGAGGTTTCACCTGTCTCATCGTAGTGACAGACTCACTAAGAAACCCTTTTAGTGAGGAGAGCTGCAGGTTCCAGAGGTCTCTTATTTCAGTGTAAGTAGCCAGACCACAAAAGCCTTCATATGCAATGATGGTGTAAGGAGGCCCGGACTACCTGAGGAGGGCTGAGGGGTTTCAGCCCTGCGCTGGGCTTTGGGCGCGGGGTGCTCACACCTCGTGTAACACAGGTGCTGCCGGGTGGCACTTGGCTCCCTCTCCCAGGTAAGCCCTGGTAACGAGGCAGGGCCCGTGCTCGGTGACTGCCTGGCCAGGCCACCCCACCTGCCCCAGAGAGCACATTTTGTTATTTAGAAGAAACCAAAGACACAGAGAACGAACATGTTGCAACGGCAAACAAAAAAAATTACAGAGTACAAATCTCAAGCGCTGTTCAGCCAGGGGAGCAGAGGGCAAAAAAAGTCGCCAAGAAAAAGTTACAAGTTT